ACTAGAGAACAACTGCATAAAGAGACAGATAAAAGAGATATTTTTGAGGTGAAGAATGTAGGTGGTAAGCACCAAAATATTAATTCCCATCTAGTATCTGCACCTCTTCTCCCTGTGTTCCAGTTCCTTTACACCAAGCAGACCTAGAATCTCAGGGTTGCTTGGCAACCTTACTAGCTTAATCTTTTTCTTTTCCTGCTGAACTGTCTCCTTTCTCCTTTTTCCTTGCTATTCAATTCTTTGAAAAAGTTTGGGCTCTTGACTTTTTAGAAACACATATGCACAATAAAGCTGGTCTATATTTATATATTTTGATCCAGAAATATACAATTATATTTTTAGGCAGTGGTAATCATAAGTATGGTTGACATAAATTTTATATTTCCTAGCATAGCTTCAGTTCCAAAAATTTGGTCTTGTTGCTCTCATAACTACATGCACATTTGTCAGACTGCTTGTTTAAATCTGAGTTTACTTTGAAAATATACTTTGTATACAAAGTGTTTCTAAAGACATACTTTGGGGAGATGCTAAATGGAGTTTAGTATTCTTTTCAGTAACTTTTCATAGTTTGGGGCACAAATTCTAAATTCAGCCTGACATTCAAGGTCCTCAGTGATGTGGACCTGTACATCTATCCAGTTTCACCTTCTGCTACTCCTCGACATAAATCTTGCACTCAAACCACACAGAATTTTAGTCACCTAGACTTACCTGTATGTGTAATATATTCACATATTTGCACATATTATTTTAGGATACTCTTCTAGAATGTCTATGGTGCTCTTCTTGCCTGTACCTGTAAACTATCACTGTCATCTGATTTATCCTTAAAGTCTCAGTTCAGATCTGTGTTAAATGTTTCCTGCCCACTCCAGAAAGTTGAGCACTTCTGTTTTGCCACTGTAGCTTATACATATATATATTATACTTGGACATATCATAATGATGAGCACATTGGGCTAATTGGAACACGCTGTTTATTTGGCTAGATTTCTCATTGCACAGGGACCTGACTTAAGGTAAATAGTCATGTGTTTTTCAAATAAATGAAATAAAATAATGGGAAAAAGACATTGCCAAGGATGAGTATCTTCCCATTTCCCACCTTTTAACATGATAAACACGATTTTTGTGATTAAGTTGATGAGATGAGAATGAGGTAGAACTAGGTACAGTTCAGTCTAGGTTTCTAGCATGTTTACCAGTTATTGGATCTGACCTGATCTAAGCTGACTTTCCAATGCTGGGCCCTAAGCAAACCAACCCAAGTTGTCAAATTAACCTACCCCCCCCCCCAAAGTTATAAGTAGCAAAGGGGAGGGCAGGATAGCCTGATAGATATGTTCTCAGAAAGACCAGGTGCCATGTTAAGGGGTCCAGGAAACCTAGTTTTTCCCCTTACCATCACCACCCTGGGGTCCCTGAGATTGGGAGACCAAAACATTGCCATAGTGGTGGTGAAATGCTAACCTGGAAATTGCCACATATAGGCTTTAGGGAGATAGTATGGGGGTGGGGGACAGAATGTGCAGACAGACTGATGCAAAAGCTAACTGTCATTCTTAAGCAACTGAGGAGGTAAGGGCTAGAAGTCCAGACTGTTGCTGCAGGGACTTCTCTTTCACAATGACTCTGCAGTCTAGAGGCTGGGGAGGCAGTTACAGAGGCCATCTCAGGACAACCCTGGGCTGGAAGGGGTGGCAGATAAGCCACTCACCCTTGAGTTCTATCCACATCAAACTTTTCTCCTTCACAACTATTATTATATCAGACCTCACAGCCATCCTATAAGGTAGGTAGGGCAACAGTTATGACCTATTTTACAGTTGAAGGTGTCAAGGTCCAGAAAAGTGGGCCATAAGGCAAATTTTCCCATTCTCAACTGTTTAACTCCCTCACCTAATGGTCTTTCCATGGCCAGATACTAAGCTCTGCTCTTACTGGAGTCTCATGTCCATCCAACTTAACAGTTCTTTAAACTTTCCATGCCTTCAACTTCTCCATTTCAACCTAATCATGACATTGACCCAAGTAATATAAACTTCTCTCATCCTGATTTATGTTGTATCAGGGGCACTAGTCATTTATCCACTAAATGTTATGTACTATCTCCTACCATATGCCAAATACTAGGCTAAGCACTAGCTCATACATCAATGAATAGAACACAGTTTCCATTTATTTCACAGAGTTTCCAATCACAAAATACAGTGTTCAAAACCAGTAAGATGGCTAGAAATAAACATGTACAGTGAACAAACAATAAATTATCCCAAGTGATAGGAAGTACTATGAAGTAAATCAGTAGGGTGCTGAGTATGTGAGGGGAAAGCGGTAAGGAGAACTACTTTAGCTAGGATTCCAACCATAGAGAGGTCATTCCATTAAGAGGATATTTTAAGCTAAGAACTAAAGAATGAGAAGGAGTCAGCCAAGGTAAGTCCAAAGGCCAGAGATAAGAGTCAGATGTGTAAATAGTCTAGCTGACTAGGGTTGATAGCCATCTGGAGGCAGTGTAGTATGCAATAATAGCACTGGATGCAACTTTACGAATCCCCTTGCTTTTAGATCCATTCCTGTTAAGAGTTCTTTAAATGGAGCAGAAAGGAACTGGCATTTACTGAGTGTATACTATGTGCCAGGAGCGAGCTTGTCCCTTGCCCATTTTTTTTAAAAAATTTTCTTCAGTCTCAGAATTTTCATTTGTAAAACAAAGAATTGAGAATATTTGGTCCCTGAGGGCTCTTATAGCCTGGAAAGATAAACTAGTTCAATCTATGACCCCATTTTTGAGTTAAAAAGCTGAAGCTTTGTAAGATGAAGTGATTTTGTCTCAGGCTATCCTATAGATAAGTACATCTCTCATCAACTTGAGGCCTAATCTACTAGGGTAGGACTGAAATAGTCTCATCTGAACTAAAAACTAAATGGATGTACCAGACTCTTAGCACTGCCTAGAAAGAAGTTGTGGATGGGATACTACATCTTGGATGGGGAAGGGGAAATCATCTTATGAGCCTTTGACAGTATGGTTGTGCCATTGGATGCTAGCAAAGCTTTTCTTAGCAGCACACATTTCCAGGAAGAACAGAAACTGCAGTGCAGTGTCTTGGGTGGATAAAACACACCCCGATTGGGGCAGAGGCCTTGGAATGGGGTTAGCTATAAGGCCCCAAGTCTATGTGATTTCCTTAGAGGGAACCTGGGGCTTCATATACATTTCCATTTGCTTCCATTAACCTTCTTTTCTCCCCTTCCTCCTTTTTCTCTGTAACTCAAAGTGCTCATAGTGGCTACATCCAGTTATAACCCCAGGCTCAGGCTTATTCCAACACTTGTTCTAATTTCTATCCCAACTTGAACTAGATAATAAGAGAAGGTAAAGGAGAAGAAGAGAAAGAAAAGATAAACAAAGAAGAGCAGATAAGAGAGAGATGAGTAGAAGAAGGGAAGGTGAGGAGAGAAGAGTAGGGGGGAGGGGAGGAAAAGACAACATTTTTTTCCTGCCTCATCACTGAAGCAACTTCTGTCTTTTCCCATGAAATAGTATTTGACCTTGATAAGAACCAAGCACTGTAGTTACCAAGTTCCTCAAATCAATAATGTCAACAGAAATAAAAGGTATCTGCAAATCCACTGAATCTGTCAGAGCTCCTCAAGCCCTTTCATTATTTCTACCAGAGGAGAAGGCAGAGCTCTTTGTGCATAGTAGTAGGGGTAAAGTGAGACCTCCCTGCTCCTTTCTCTCGACTTAAAGTAAAAGGTTCCTCTGAGTTTTCACCCCCCCAAAAATTATCATATAACAGATTAGCCACCTGGAAAAGTTCTTAAAGGGACAATAACTCACACTAATCATAGTTGGAAAGAACAAGTCCTCACAGAAATCATAAATCTAATTAAGGTGGAATCTCAAGCGGTTTGACTGAATGTTAAAGAAGTTACAGAAGCCTCAGCAACAGGATTAATTTATCTGCAAAAACTATGCAGAAGGGTGGGCGGGTGTTCTGCATGAACAATGGGGGGGAAAGAGCACCAAAAGCTGAATGTGGTCATTCACTTACTCTGTGTCTAGGGTACATAGACAAAAAATAGGTGACCCTGAACCTCCTTTTCACTCCATCTTGGTTGAGGAAGTATGGGGAAGGGAAGAATTAATTAAGTTCATCTAATCTTTTTTGTTCTTTCTGTGTGCTCATCAAGCAACTTTATGATTAATTTGGCTCTCAGAATAGATTTTTCTGAGTAAGAAATTGTTGTTCAGCCAACATGAACATTTCCAGCTGTTTTGGGGTTATATTTTCTCTGGAATTAGACAAAAACAAATGAAATAAAACAAAACCCTCTAATTATATCTGTTTCCTGTGAATTCATGGAATATGATCAGGTAGACTTCAAGTGTCTTGTCAAAAATGGATGTGTCCCAGGGTGAGAGATCTCTGCTTAAAAAGTAAGCACATATCTTTAAAAGGTATTTCTGTCTCACTATGTAAAGTTATAGAGCCAATCTCATTATTTTACAGATGGGGACACTGAAACCCAAAGAGGGTCAGTGGCAAAGCCAGGATTTAGGACCTTACTTTTTGTCCTACAACATTCGGTGTCTGCATTCTGCAATCTGCCTATTACCTCCTAATTCACGATAAGGAGTTCTGTAAACTCTCAGAAACATAGTTATTAGATCAGTTGAACCTAGTTACTTTTCCAGTAACTGCCCAAGGGACTGAGGTTTATTCACAGCTTTGCCTTTTGACTGAATATGACATATTTTTTCCTTCCAGCACCCTCACCCTTTTCTCCTTCTCTCTGATTTTCATTCCCTCACCCTCCTTACCTAAAGTGATAGTAAGGTAAACTTGATTGAAACTGTGCTTCTTTTCTACTTTTATCTGTGTATGTTCATGGGAAGGAAGTAGAGGTTTTGAAAATAACCCAGCTGCTGTGCCATTTTATCTTCACCTCTAGCCAGATGCCGATTCTAGCTCTTTCTCTAAGACCCTACTGCATGCTAGGTATGAAGCCTAAGAAAATAGAGACTCTGCCATGTGAAAAGATTTGGGCTGGGGTAAGACTGGAGTTAATGACTGAACAGGTATGGAAATAATCTTTCAATAGGTATTTTAATTTGATTTAGCAAGAATTTGCAGAAAGACTGTTTCATGCTAGAACTTTTCTTAGGCTCTAGGAGTCCAAAAGCAAGTAAATCAAGGCCCCTGCCTGATATAACTCACTTTCTAGCCATATAAACAGATATAACCTAAATGCAATGTGATCAGGCCATAATTTAGGTACACGAAAGTACAGGACACTTTGTACAGGAGGGGTTTCACCGAGGAGGTGATAACTGAGCTGGGCCTGAACAACACAAGATCTTCTGGCAGGATAGATGTGATGGGACCAATAAAATTTTCAGGTCCACATAGAGGCACATGGAAAGATCAGAAGTGTACTAGAATATAGCATATGTTGTAGTTGTAATATAATATGGGTGGAGGATGAAGATGTAGGTTGTGGACAGGTTGTAAAGGGTACTAGCCATTTTGCTGTGAAACTGACTTTTTGCTTTGTGAAATGGAGAACCAATAATCCATTTTTAGTAGTGGAGTAACACCATCAGAGCTGTGTTGTTAAAAGATCTTCCTGACAATAAATACCAACATTTAAAGAGAAAGATATTATTGACTGAAAATTAAACATTTTGTTCATTTAAAAATTATTTTAATCATTAGGAATAAGATTATTGACTCCCTAAATAAAGGCATTCTGGGAGCTGACCTAGTTACTCTTCACTCATTTAGCTAACATGTTCTAAACAATAACTTACTCTGTGTCAAAAACTGGAGATACAGAAATTAATTTAGACAGGGACCCCTGTCCTTGAGGCAATTCCAGGTTATAAAAAGGCAAATGCAGGGACATAAAATATCATGTTATAAGGTAGTAAATGTTTGAATCAGTATTAATATTAGAAACATTAATTACTATAGTAATAATCATATTAATAAACATATATAATGTGGTCAAAGGCTACTAATCTTCTTCTCTTGGATTACCTCCATGGAAATATGGATTATCTCTAGGATGATGAGCAGGTTTATCTGAGGTGTAGGGTCAAGGATGTGAAGACTTAGACATTTAGGGGTATATGTTCAGTATTCCATTGAATCTACTGATCTGGATATGTGAGATAGAGACTGAACAAGCATGCAGATATATGCACATACATACAAACAAAGAAAAATAGCTCTGGAAAACAATAACATGTAATAAGAAGCAGAAAAAGAAAGAGGAGCTTATAGAGAGCACCAAAGAGAGTGATCAGGAAGATGGGTGAATCAGAGGACTGTAGACAAACAAATTCAACAATTTTCACTGATCAATACTTTAGATCAGGTGCTGTTTTAGACAGTAAGGAAACAAATGACAAAGATGATCCCTGCTATGAGCTAGGATGGTCTGGCAGAGAGTTGATCTTTATATCTCATGTGAACCATGCTTGTTTGGCTTTTCATGATAGAATTCAGCCTGAAGAGTGAAGGGTATCCTCTAAACCAGGGTTTTAAGAAACAAAGAATTGTTGACAGTCATCTTTGGCAGACATTGAGGGAGATGAAGCTAGTAGAGAGGCTTTGTCTTTGTTGATTAGGAGTTCATGGTAATTTGGTGGCACCAGATAGCAGGGCCAGTGAAGAAATTGAGATAGAGAACAAATAAAAAGCTAAGTTATAGTGGATTAGGAGGTTAAACAGTGCAGTGATCTTTAGAAACTACTTTTTCAATAGGTTGTATTGAGTGGGCATTGGAAAGATATTTGGTTGTGACTTGACTATGCCTGCAAGCTGAGATATCAACAGATGAAGGAATAAATAGGATGACATCTAAGAAGAGGCCATTGGATCAATGGACTTTGTGAGAGCAGAGCCAGTGGATTAATAGAAGCAGGAGAGATGGGAATGGCCTTAGCCTCAGTTCTGAAACCCCTTTGCTTGGTGTAGGGGTCAAAGTGGGAGGTTCAAAATATATACTAGATGTTGGAGGCTACAGATTACAACTCAAGGAAGAATGCTTGGAGGATAAGTAGGATAAGGGGAGAGGAAGTTGACTTAAACCACAACAGGCATGGGTAAGATTAGATGAAGGGATCAACTTCCTGCCAGAGGAGCATAACTCATGGTAAGAGAAGTGAGAGAATCTCTATATTTGCAATTCCCTCAAAATTACAAACAAGTATATCTTTGCTTTGGAATAAAAACCAGTATGGTCCAGCCTGGATGCAGTGGAAAGTACTAAAATGACTCTTCTTAGTGGCATGTACAGAAGAAAGCAGGAAAGTTGGTTTGTACTATATGCTTACTGAGTGACTTGAAGTAAGTCATTTGAGCCTTCTGAACTTCATTTTTTTTTCATTTTTTGAAAGCGGAGAACAACTTCCACCTCCTAGAATGGTTGTGAAGATTACATGAGATGATGTGCTAAAGCATTCAGCACAATGCCTATGACATAGTAGCCATTAGTCAACTCTTGGCTCTTTTTTCCCACTTCAATTGTTTTAGTCCTATAAACACAGTGTGCAGAGGTCTCTAGATACACCTCTTTCTTTACCCTGCTGATTCTTAATAGATAATAAGATGGGAAAACTTGTGGATTCTGGGAATTCATGCCATAGTATCCAAGAGCTGACCATCTCCTGAAGAAAGTCGAGCTGACCAGAGAGACTTGCAATGTACCCTTTCTACTACCTCCATTGCCAAGCAAGCATTGAGGCAAGCTAGGGAGCTTCCTGGATGTCTGATAACATCAGTGGGTCATAGAAGTGGGTCTAATATGTAGTTAGAGAACTCTCATGTTCTGAAACACATCTTTGCTCTCATACCTTATTAGGGGAACAACTAATAAATGTCTGAATCTAAGCTCTGCTACTTACTAAATATATGACTTTGAAGGGAATTAATACCTTTGAGCTTCAGTGTCCTCATTTGTGAAATAAGGCTAATTCTTATTCTACAGGGTGTTGAGATGAATACGTGATATAATAGACCTGAGAGTATGTGGTACCTAACAAGCACTCAACAAAGCTTTTTTATTTCCTTCTATTCTCATGCTGCAAGAACTGAGTAGAGGAATAGAGGAGCAGAAATCTTTCTTGTGCCAATATGTATCTTTTTTTTTTTTTTAAAAAAAAACTTTTTACCTTGTATTAGGTAAAATACAGGAGCTTTCAAGTATTCCACTTTCCTGAAATCTCATAAGAGATGGGGAAATAGATAGTGAGAAATATTAGTAATTTACTCAAGGCCCCATGGCTAGAAAGTGGCAAACTGAAATTCAAATACAGGTTTTTTAATTTCATGCTGTGCTTTTGTCACTATAGCACAGGCCTCATGTGACAACCACCAATACCTGTCATCAGTCAAGAATCCACTAGAAGCATCTTTGATATTTTTATTTTTCACTTATTCTAGTCATAACACTCTTGAACAGTAAGAAACATTTGGCCATCTACATCATAAAATCTGTTTGGAGGTTAAAAAAGTTGAGATTAGAAATTCTGCACTACATATTGCCACACAAATTGTGATGGTTGACAATTTTTAGATGAGCCTGTGGAAACTGACACATGCAAATATAGGACAGAAACATTAAGCAGGTGTCCTGGTGACTAACCCTAGAGAGAAGTATGTAGGAATCAATTGCCTCCTAAATCAATGCTAAACAAAGTTCTAGCATCCTAGTTCTAGATGTTTAGTTGTGGTATAAGCTCAAGGGTTTGGCCTAAATTATATTTTGTCCCCACAATATGCACCATCCTTGCCTTTGCTTTAGTCAGAGAAAATAATAGGAAGATGAAAATGGTCTGCTATGCCAAATCAATGATTCCAGGGACACCCTTTCCAGCCTGAATTAGAGAATATGTATTTTAAAGAAAGGCAGTTTTGTTTCTTCCAAATATAGGCAATGAGCTATCATAAGTTGGTTCCTCCTTCCTGCCTTCCCTTTACATTCAAAACTGTTGCCTAGGGGATTAGGTGGACTATTGTAGGAAATAGATAACAATGATTGGTTAGGGTGACTTCAGTTATTTTTGTCATAGATGAAAGCTTCTGAAAGACTTTGGGAATAAAGTATAGGGGTGAAGAGTGGAACCAGTTTGTTTTTCTTAGTCTTTAATAACTCTCTGGAACTCCTACCTTATTTACATTGTTTACTAGAAGAAGCTAAGCAAAAGTTCACTTCAGCTTAGCCTATCTAATGGCAATAAATTGGAAATTAATTGAGGTTTTTCTGGATATAACTGCCCTTGTAGACTGAGATGATAATTGACTTGAATTTGGTATTTTTTTTAGCTAGAACAATATTATATATTTTTGTAGATTGATTCATATGCCCTACCCTTCATAAATTGTTCCATGACATTTGACTCCTGCCTCTGTCATTTACTAGCTGTTTAACTTCAGGCAAATGACATGACTTCCTTGAACATCAGCTCCTCATTTGTCAAATGGGACTAATTATAGTATCTCCCTCATAAGGTTGTCATGAAGATATTATATAAACTAATACATGTAAAGAACTTGAAACAATGCCTGACACTTAGTAAGTTCACAGTATGTGTTTATTATCATCATTATAGTACAAAATGAATCTTTTGGTAAGTCCAAGGTCTTTATCTGGTTTCGTTAATAACACATTTGGTGTGCTTGACTATCTATAGATATCAAAGATATGCTTAGGCTTATAATTACCCTGTTGCATCAGTGGTCTCTCCATTCACACAAATTCATTATGTTCTTTCTTACCTCTGTACTTTTATTCATATTCATCCCTCTGCCTGGAATGCCATTCTCTGATCTTATTATCCTTCAAGGGTCTTTTAAAATGTTACCACTTCTGTGAAGTTTCTAGTCCAAACAGTTGGAATTAACTTTTCTTTCCATAGCCTAGACTCCAAAATTCTTTGTCTTAGAGATGGAAGGGCACTGCATCATTGTACTTTCTCTGGCTTCTCATGTCTTATTAGATAAGTATCAAACCCTCAATATAGCATTAAAGGCCTCCCTCAGTTAAGTCCCAGTGTTTACCTCTCCTACTATTCTTTCCTTAGCTCAGTCTATTACAGGCCACACTAACCTCCTTATCTTCTTGGACTAGGCCTCATTCCTTCTCATCTTGAAGCCTGACACCTGCTGTTTCTTCTGCCTGGAATGGCTTTTCACCAATTATTTGCTTGGTTCACTCCTTCTCATTCTTTAGTGTCACTTCAAATGTTACTTCCTCTGAGATATTTTCTTGACCATATTCAGGCCTGGTAGATTAGGTTCCCTTGTTATGTGTTCTCCCAGTTCTATGTGCTTCCCCATTTTTTGTCATATTTACCTGGAATTAATACCTATTCCCACCATACTGTAAGTGTTAAGAAGGCAGGCATCTTATGTGTCTTGTTCATCTCAGTATCCTGAATGCTTCCTACCATGCTTAATACTTAGAAAACACTTAACATATAATTGTTGAGCAAATAAATCTAGTCCAGCCTCACTGTAGAGATGGAAGTATGGAGTCCCTGACTGGCTTATTTAATTTAGCAAGTATCACATGATCTCACTCACATGGAATCTAGTGAACAAAATAAACTGATGAACAAAATAGATGCAGAGACATGGAAGCATGGAACAGACTGACAGATCTCAGAGGGAAGGTAGGGGGGACATGAAGAGATTAACCCAAGAACTTATATGCATATATATGCATAACCCATGGATATAGACAATGGTGTGGTGAAGGCCTGGGGAGGGGGGCAGGTGCAGGGTGGAGGGAGTCAATGGGAGAAATAAAGGGAGACATCTGTAATACTTTCAAAAGTAAAGATAAATTTTAAAAAAGAAATATGGAGTCTCATAGAGGTAAAGGGATTTATTCAAAGTCACACAGAGAATCAGTGACAGAGAAAAGACTGTAGCCCAGGTCTCCTGACTTTGATACAGTGCTCTTTTCCATACGTGCAGTTCCACTATAGTACTTATTTCTTGTACAAACATATGTATTAGTCTGGCTCCTGGACTAGGCTATAAATTTCTTGAGGGCAGAGATCACATTTTTTTATCCTCACCTGAGGATATGTTTTTACTGATGTTAGAGAGACAGGAAGAGAGAGAGAGAGAGACATTGATGTGAGAGAGAAACATTGATCAGTTGCTTCCCATAACCACCCTGATTTGGGATCGAACCTGCAACCTAGGTATGTATTCTGACCAGGAATTGAACTTGAAAACTTTTGATGTATGGGATGACACTCCAACAAACTTAGTCACCTGGCCAGGGTAAGGATCACATCTTATACCTGTACTGTTCGATATGGTTGCTATTAGCTACATGTGGCAATTGAACACTGGAAACATGGCTAGTCCAAATATTGATTTACTGTAAGTATAAAATACACACCATACTTCAGAGCATGTAAAATATCTCATTAAAAATGTTTACATTGCTAAGAGGTTAAGATAACATTTTAGATGCATTGTGTTAAATAAAATATATTCTCAAAGTTACTTTCACCTATTTGTTTTTCAAAAATTTAATGTGGCTGTATTACATTTCTATTAGATGTATATTACTGTTCTGTTATATATCTATTTTTCCCATTGGTGCCAAGCATAAAGCTTTGTAGACAGTAGGTACTCAACACACTCTTGTTGAATCTCTTGTTGAATAAAGTTGAGCTGTAGCTGGTAGGTTAATTGCTGCTAACTACCTTGGCGATATCACTGGGTTTGTGGGGAACCTCACGGTGAACCCTTTGTCTCCAGGCCCAGATGTACATGAAGTTCTTCAACCCGGGCCTGGGAGTGCCCTATATATTGCATCAGCCTTTGGGTTTCCTTTCAGAGGAAGCCCCAGTGCAATCATATGAACAGCAATAACCAGAGTTGAGGTGGAGTATGTGGACACCAGCCTCTTGCACAGGAAGTGGTCTCAGCTTTGCAATTGTCCCTGGGGCCTTTTCTTTACCAACTTCTAAAAGGAGGTGGGGATAGGTAAGCAGGAAGATGAACTGAGTTGCAGGGGGGCCTTCTAATTTCCTTCACAGAGGTGAGGTAAGCTAAGGAATATGGGAACCTTGGGCTAAGGAGTTCTTCATTTGCTTATGCACTGACACATTCATTTATTCAACTCAGAGTCCAGAGCAACTACTTTTTCCTGGCCCTGTGAAAAAAGAAAGGGAGTAGACACAGCCCCTACATTGGGAAGTTTTTGGTCTCCTGTGAGAAACAGACACATAAGTTTGCAGAGTTGAAATATTTTTAGTACTCAACGTGGGCAAAACAAGGAGTAACTAATTTTGCTGAGAGAGGGATAGTCAGAGAAGGCTTTCCAGAGACAGTGAGCATTGTTATTTTCTCTCTCCATTTTTTTAAGATCTAGCTAAAAAGTTTTCTAAGAACTTTTCTAAATACCATCACCTTTCTGCCCTCTACCCTGGAAGAGTCACACTTTCCTTACCCACATTTTTATAGCACTTATACCTGTGTCAAATAACTTTCCTCATACTGTAGAAAGTCATAGTTCCTTGGGTGCATACTTGTGTCTCTCTCCCCCGCAGCCCAAGGATCCCTCAATATGATGTGATGGCTAAGGCTCAGACAGGCTGTGCATAATTTTTAAAGGGAATTTAGTGAGTTACAGAACTGGGTCTAAAAACCACAGACTATAACCTAGGTCCTAAGACACAGGGTCTCTGACTCAAAATTTAGCATTTTTTTCATCCTAGCAATAAGTTAATAAATGAATGTATTTACAGTACGGGATCTCAGCATTACTTTCCTGAGCCCCCCATCCAATTTTTTTCTCACTCATCCCCCATTATAAGCATAGCCAATTCAGAGAACATCCAAAATGGGAGGACTTTGTATTTTGGATGAACAACAGACCTGAAAAAAAGTACCTTGTGCTATTGCTGCACACATGGCCCTTCCTAGCATGCTTTGTGTTTTAAGGTAAAGAAGAACTCCAAGGAACTCAATGCCCTTTGCACTAATTCAGGTCTTCTGCATAAGTGGCATGATTTGTAGGTCCTCCATGCTCCTAATGGGCTCTTTTTTTATGGTCCTACTATGGGGTCCAAAGTGGCCACTGTTAATTACTACTTTAGATGAAGACAATGTCTTCAGAGGTGCCTATTAAAAACACACACAGTAAAGTACCTTAATTGATAGATGAGAAAATAAGAAAAAGTGTGTAGATAAACTTAATCACTATGTTGTGTGTAAGGAGAAGGGGTCCTTCCCTAAGAAAGTGCCCACAGGGCAATCCTGCTTCCACCCCAAGCTTTAGTCAGAAACCAAAAAGGAAAAGGAACTGAATCTTTCTAGATGCAAGATCTGTGGAAACAGGTCATGAGGACTAAGCCACTACATTATTCTGAAAGAAAGAAGTTACTGCCAAGTAGTGTGAGTACAAGTAAATCCATATCCCAGGCTGTCCTTAGAGTCTCTAGGCCCTCACAGGAAAGCTCACTATGAGGGGTGGCAATGATGGAGCACTTTATAAAGAAACCAGGGAATATTTGAGTTGAAGAGGTCACCAAGATCATCTAGTCCAACTTCTGATGGTTAAATGGAAAACCATGGCTAAGAGAGGGAACACAGTTAGCAGATCTGGAGCTCAGGCACAGAACTCCTGGTTCATGGAATACGGTCTTTTCTCTTGAACCTGGATTTATAAGACTATATGTAGCTTGGATAGATTATTCATTGGGGCTTAAGTATTTCTCTGGATCCTACTTTTGCTATATAGACTAATGACTGGGACTTGGGCACTGCAATCGTTGAAGATGATCCCAAATATATCCTGAAAGCATTGCAGTAATTGCCTTTCCCATCTGCCATGCCATCAAGATTCATGACATAGAGTACTGCATAATGGGAATCAAGCACCTTCCTTACCATGAATGGGGACTGCCAAAATATTGCAAAATAAGATGCTAGGAAGCAATTTGCTTCCTTATCATATCTTTCATGTCTCCTATAAAGTCTGACAAGGGTTTGGCACCATCTCTTCCTTCTTAAAATTAACTACTTTTCTCCCCTCTCCTTATAGCCAATGTGGAGGAGTAGAAAAAGCCAAATATTTGGAGCCAGAAAGACCTGCATGTGGATCTTTTTTTCTACATTATTTCCTAGTTTTTTATCCTTAAGGACGTCTCTTTACTTCTATGTGCCTCAGCTTCCTCACCTATAAATAAGGATAATGAAAATATCATATTACAGGATTGTTGATTAAATGGGATAACAAATATAAAGCACATACAAAGTTATTTAATACATATAAATTTCTTTATTTCCTTTTGCAAGGCTTTTGGATGCCAGAATGTGGCCTGTGGTCAGAGCTGTGTCAGTAGGGCCAGTTTCATAAGCATGGGAGTTATAAACTTTCATAGGGCCCCATGCTTAGAAAGACCCCACATTTGTATTAATGTTCTGCTGTTGCCATTTTGAAATTCCTTATTTTTACAAGAAGCCCTTATTTTCATTTTGGACTGGACTTTGTCAATTATGCAGCTGTGCCAGGGGAGTAGCTGTGCCAGGGGAAGTAAAAAGGGTATTTTGGGTTTAGGAGGCATTCTGAGAGTGAGAGAACACACAATTTGGAGTTAATAGAAATGGATTCAAATTCCAGTTATGCCACTAATTCTCTTTTTGTTATCAGACATTTTCTCTCATCCTTCAGAGGCTCAATTTCTCAATTTCAGGATTCCCTCAGTAGCTCTGGAGAACCTCCTTGGCCCATAGGCAGAGGTAGGGCAACCAGGGGCTTTTTTCTCTGACTCTCTGCAGCTCAGAGAGCCAGTATCTTTTGGAGGTTGCCTGGGAGTGGGTGGGGGCATGGTGGTGGGGATTGTTGCTGCACTAGCAGACCCTTTCACAACAGCACTGTTTTGTCATTTTGCACCCAGATTTCCGTTGGCTAACCTCAGCCTTATCTTCCTCATTTCTGTTTCCTCTTGAAGACACCAAGGGCCCTTCAAAACACATGATGTTCCTGCTCACAGCATAAAGCCCAGTTCCCTTTGGCCTCTGCAGGTTGGCTCATCACCAGGGAACCTGTGCCTCCTCTGAGACTAAAGCACCACTCCAGTAACAGGTATAGTATTCATTTTTCCTCTTTGGATTCCCAAGCTAGAAATGTGTTCATGGATAGCAAAGATTGCTTAGACCTGCCCACCACATTCTCCTTGAACCTTCCTCAGGGATCTTGGGTTAAGGGTAGGGGAGAAGGTTACCATCTGCCTTTTATTCTGGAGCTTCTACTGTGAGAAGGGAGAATAATATTTCCTCCCCAAATATGCTATTTAGGAGATAAACACATGGAAGTGGAATGTTTTCTGGAATCAGGAGTCAATATATTTGAGTAACAGTCCTGGTTGTGCCATTTACCCATTGTGTAGTTTTAAGCAAGTCCTTTCTACATTATGTGACTCACTTTTTTGCTTATTCTGCAAAGACGAGGAGGGGGGGATGATGAGATAGATTTTGTCTGGAGACACTTTTAGTTTTTATATCCTGTATTTTGATGGTTGTAAGCCCTCTGTTGAGAAAGGTCATGAAAGTAATGCTGAGTAAATATCTCTGGGTGAGGCTGAACAGGGTGTTGAACTGTGTCTGAAAGAAATCCAGACTGCTCCTAGTATGAGAAGGCCCAGCTGAGTCAGTTTCATGGCAGGTCCTGCTGCTTGTTGTGTTAGCCCTTCCAGAGTAGAGCAGAGGACAAATGATGACATTTTATATAGCATGATGGATCATGAGAAGACCTTTGGAATTCCTCAATATTGCTTCATGTAAATCTCCACCTCTTCTCCCTATGAGTCTGGCCAGCCTTTCTCAATTGAACCTGCTTTTCTTGTATACACTCTATTGGAAAGACATGCATTAGAACATCAAGAGTGGAAATAATACTAATTTCAGCTCAGCCACCAACCCTTTCCATTCATATGGGGGCAATATGGTTTTTAAGGCTCTTCAACTTCTAGTGTACTAACAAGGAATCTTTACCACCCTTATATCTTTTTTCCTTTTTTATGAACTCAGATAAGATGTTCAGGAGGCTGTGGACACCTCCAGTTTATCCAGGTCTTCTCACTGGGGCTGTAGCCACGGAGGGTGATGATAGATGAAATCACAAGTTGTGTCTTCTCTGCCACCCTGAATGCAAATTTTATTAATCAGCTTCCTTGGCTGGCCTCCACTCACAGGTCCAAGGACTGAGCCAACGTACTAGTGGACTAATTTTTGGGAGGCTCTGGAAAGCTCATTGAACACTTTCCTCACAAATCTACCAGGTAAGTCTTTTTATCCACATTTCCTGAGAAGAAATCTGAGGCCCAAAGAAAGACTTTCTCAATACCATAATTGGCTAGTTGGTGCCCAAAGCAGCATTAGCATCCAAGATTGCCTGACTGTTTTCACTCTACCATACTCTTGACAGTGATTTTTGTTTTGGCTAAAAGAGCCACATTTCTGGATGGCTTGGGATGGATTGGGTAGGTAGAGAGAAAAATGAAGGAGTGAGAAATACATTTTAAATTTTGAGGTTTGAAGTCACTCCAAGATCGTAAATTAGAGGGGCATATCACCCCCTTACCAACATACATTCAATTAAGAGTTAAGATAATAAAATAAAAAAAAAACTTACTTTTTTCTCCCTGAAAGACAAGTCAAATTTCTAGCTCAAAATTAAAAAAAAAAGAAAAAAAAAAAATAAAAAAAAAAAAAGACAAGTCATCTGCCTTGGCCTCATGGGGCAGTTTTCTACTGTGCCATTTTTCATGTCAATATTCATTATAGGCCAACTACTTTCTAACAGATAAACTGCCACTTCTGGGAAGGGGGTGAATTTGACACAAACATCTTGGAATGTTTAACAACAGGATTTAGGTGTTGCCAAGGGAATTCTTTCAGAAATTCCAGGCCTGACAATGATCCTGTTAGCTTCCTTGTTCCCCAGACGGCTGTGGGTTGAAAGATTCCAATGTCTCACTGCCAAGACTGCTGCCTGTCTTTTGGCTTCCTTGATGATGTGTCTCACTTTTCCCAGAGAGATAAGTACAGCAAAAAGGTAAGAGAAGTGATGAGAAACGTTGGAAGGCACAATGGGTTAATATATGACACAACTCCAAACTGTGAGCAACTTATATGACCTTTAGCAACTTTATTCCTCAACATGAGCCTTCATTTCCTCATTTATAACATGAGTAGGTGAGACTAGATGCTATTTCTTTTATAGCTGCCATTCTTGAGTCCCGATGGCACAAGGACACATTGTTAGGTAAGGCTGAGGTTATCAGAAATTTCTATTTCATTTGTCTTGACTCTGTTAAATCAGTTGTCACTAGCCCTTGATTTCCTTCTGGCAGCACAACCACCATTGTCTTTGAACATTTGTTGTGTATCAAATAATGAGCTAAGAACTTTATGTACATTATCTCATTTCATTCTCACTATAATTTATTAGGTTACTATATTTATACCTATTTTGGGGATGTGAAAAGCTGGAGCAAAAAGAGATGAAATGATTTATCCAAAGTTTTCCAGCTAATTAATGGCAGAGCCAGGATTTAAGCCCATGTTCAGCCTCAATTCTTAAGTTTATATCCACAATACTATAAAACATTATCTGGGAGATTCAGGAAGGAAAGGGTCCTGGTCCCTTCTTGAGGTTAGGAAGGCAAGATGTTAATGAAATTGTTCTCCCTATGCTACATAGAGGATCCCACTAAAGCTTGGGACCCTTAAAATGTCATAACTATAAGACTCAGGCCTGAGGAATCCCCAGCTGAGCACTGAGGTCTCACCTGCAGTCTCAACTAGGAGTTCCCTACCTACCCGCAGGGACCCTCTTTTGATTAGGAGCCTTATGCCTATTTTGCTCACTTCCCTTATTATGGTGCTTTGGCTAGTCCATAGAGCCTGTGTAGTTTCCCTGGAGGCCACGGTGTGACTCTTTTCTCTCTCTTTCCCTCTAGGCCTACATCTCCCAAGAAGATCTCATCTCCCCACTGAAGCACCTGGCTCAGCATCCTGCAGTGCCACGCTCCGTGTATTTGACAAGCTGAGTTGGACACTCCATGTGGTAGAGTGTCAGTTTGTCAAATACCCCAAGTGCGGCATGTGCCTAGCAGCTCCAAGCCAGGGCAGTTGGGGTACAACAAATAGATGATCAGCAGGATAAAATAACACACAACAAATACCAACTAAACTCTCACAGGTTATTTTAAGGTAACTTTGAGAGAATGTAAGCATTGTATCTGAGGTTCCCAGTGGAAAAGTCAGACAGCTTTGAAAGCCACAGCCCTGGGTGGTACCTACATATATTGTGAGAGCCTGAGGGGGGCAAGGTAGCCTTGTAAAGGTATCCAGGGCCCAGGGATGAAAATGCTACTTGATTCATTATTTTTTTCCTTCACATTCCCCATTCCAGAGTATCCCAGCAAGGATACCAGAAATCTCACACAACCATCATGGCAGGGCTTAGAAGCCCATTTTTCTGACACTCAGTCTTAGCTCTAAATGCACTTTGACCTTACCTATCTCTCTCCTTTTCCTCATACTTTTTCTCCTTCTGAGAACACCATCCCCATTTATTTCTGCCTATCTGATTTCTTCCCATATTTCCTTGTCCAGGCAAAATCAAGTTTCTTCAGGGACTTTTGAAAAATAAACTTATACTTTTTTCCTTCATTCTCAAATCACTTCTTGCCTGGGTCCTTCTATGTACACCTTTATCTCCTACTGCCCAATAACACTGCTTAAATTGTTAATTATCTTTTTCAGAATATATTTTGAATCCTCTACTTTATTTATGACAAGACCATGTTTCCTTGATTGCTGTCTCTCCATTCCATTCCTACCCCACAGGACTCTGGTTACAGAAAATATTCAATAAAGTTTTACTGATTGATTGACTTTCCACTAGTTCATTAGCTTTTGGTCTTTGGGACACATGCCACCTAGGCATTTTGTGAATAAAAAAATTCAAGTGTGCTCACCACAATGCTGTAGGGCATGCAAGGTATAGCCAACATGAATGGGATTTCTTCCTGATAAATTGGGTGATGGGCTACAGGAAGAGATTTTTAAAAAGTAGGTTGAGAGGGCAAATATGTTTTGGGAATTACTTGGTAACACAAAGTTATACAGGTAATTTATTTCAGGATATTATAGAGCCTTTAATATTCTAATATTGCACTGGAAATTTCCAAGAGGGAGCTATAGAATGAAGCATTTCCCATACCTATCTGATTGTGATTTTTTTTCCTGTGGACCATCTCCTGGGTCTACTATTCCATGGAACAAAACTTGGGAAGCTGCCCTAGAGGAAATTCATACTTTCCCTCTCTTCTGGAGGTCTCCTTTTTTAACTCATCTGCTTTCCCCTGACCAGCCACCTACCTAAGATAGATCCTATGTTATCATTACATTTTTGTTTAGCCTTATCTTGCAGCTTTGGGGTAGCCCTATACCAAGGACTCTTTTACTGGCTTGTCATGTGTGGAGGGAAAATGTTCAGTTTGGGAACACAGATGAACTCCAGAAGTTTCTCTGCTGCAATGAATATATTCTCCTAGCAGTTCACAGACATGAATCTGGTCTCTGTTCTACCATTGATTTGATGTGTTTGACTTCAGATAAGTCACTCTTTCTTTTTGGACTTCACTTCCTTATCTGTATTATGGGAAATTTAGAATCAACAATCTCTAAGCTCTCCAAGACAAGAGACTCTGAGTTATACTTAGGGGTCCAAGGAGGGGGTAGTGCCTGGATCTGGGGCTCCTTGTATCAAGACACATGAAACAAGGATTCTCTTCTCAACCTCAGTAATTCCTTTCTCTAAAGATAATAGGAATAAATGATGGCTGTTTTCAAAGGCTGTGTGGGGTCTGGAAACAAAGATGTTTAATTAAGGAAGCTGAGGTTTCCACTGTGGGAGGCTGTTTCAGAGGATTGTAAGCATGATGGGGAAGAAAATGTTGCTCCTTTCATGAGCATCTGGAGATGAGGAAAACGCTGAGTTTTTTACCATGGACTTGGCAGGTTAGTGGTGGTGAAGTGGAGGACTTCTTGTTCACTTTTGTGTACTATTTTGACTTCTATATTCATCCCAAAGGAGAAGAACTCCTGTTGAAACCTGAGCTGATGTTGAGGTTGTGTTGGAAATAAAAGTGGCAACATGTCAGGTTCCATGAAGAATGGATAAGTTGACTTAACATGAATTACATGAGGGAGGGAAAGCAGTGTTGACTTGTCCTAGACAGGTCCTCATAGAGGAAACTAATTTTTAAAAAATTTAACTTTATTGTTGAAAGTTTTACAGATGTCCCCTCTTTTCCCCCTTTTGGACCCTTCCACCCCACTCCAGCCCCTCCCAGGCCTTCACCCCACTATTGTCTGTGTCCATTGGTTATGCATATATGCATATAAGTTCTTTCGTTGATCTCCACCCCCCTTTTCCTCTGAGGATCCTCAGACTATTGCATGTTTCCATGTCTCTGAATCTATTTTGTTCCTCAATTTATTTTGTTCATTAAATTCCACATATAAGTGAGAACGTGTGATATTGTCTTCTCTGATTGGCTTATTTTGCTTAGCATAATACTCTCCAGATCCCCCCATGCTATTCAGAGGATACTGATTTAAAGGTATTCATGTGTGCACAAGCGTGCGTGTGAACACACACACACACACACACACACACACACACACACACACACACATATTCTTATTCTCCACTCCTACTTCTTTGCTCTGAGCCCTACTCCACATTGTAAGAAGGGACCAGGAGCTAGGGATGAAGAACACAACTATTCCAAAATTTTTAGGCTTACAGGAGGTAGGAAACCTTGAGGGCGGTGCATCTATACTTTGGAAAGAAGGACAACCCTTTATCTCTACGTCCACAGAATAAGGCTCCTTTTGAAACATCTTCGCAGAACATGTTACTTGTTAGATCAAAGAGTAAGGGAAGGGTGAATTAAGAAGTGCTTTGAGAACACTGTCTGTGAGGAGGCAGCACAAAACCAAAAGTGAGGGCTAGCCTGCTCTCCAAATGAGAAATGAAGAGATGGAGAGGGGCTAGCAGACAGGCAAGACTATGCAACATGGCGAAAAGCTTGGAGACTGTGGAGAATGGTGGCCAATGGGATTTACCAATAGTAAATTGGCTGAGTGATTAAAAAGCAGGAGTATCTAATATTCTCTTTCAATTAACTAGGTTACTCAAATGGGACCAACATATACCTCCCTCAATCTATCTACACTTTCTATGTACCATTAAAAAAAAAAAGTCTGCTGTATGCCATAAAAAGGGGGACTCATTTTTTTCTTCAGGTTTTTAATTGACCTAGGAAGAGTCATCCAGGTGGAGCTGGCAGGACAATTGGTAAAGGGATAATGGAAGGCAGATGAGTACTATTTTACCAAAGAATCATTGTGTTCTAGCTGGACCTACCTCTGAAGTGAGGTAAGGGTGGCATGGGTAGGAAGGAGGAAAACAAAAACCAAAGGTGCTATTTATGCTCCCAGAGCCCTAACCTTCTCAACTGGACTCACTTTAATCACTCTCAGTAGGTCCTTGAGAGAAGACCAATACAACTAAGGTTGCTATTATGATTAGATATTTATTAATCACCAAAAGAATATCAGAGTAATAAATTCACAGCATAAGAGCAGAACTGAACCCTGTTATATGACAATCTCAATTAAAAACATTCTGGCCTTGGAAAAAAATAAGTGATTATGGACATAACTGATCCCTGAGCTGGCAGAGCTGAGCCTCCCTCTGGTCTTACAGTGACAAGAGGCCAAAGTTAATTGGTGTCTTAGTGCTATGGGAACTTCCCTCTGGTGCTTGGAGAGAAGTAGCAAAAGGCCCAGGCAGAGATATTGGAAGGGCTCAGAGCCCAACCCAGGAACAGGATTGCATGTGTGCACATGGCAACTTCTTAGGGCTTAGGCAAAGCCAGTCATACTTAGGAATCTGAATGTTGGCAGGTAAGACATATTGTACTATCCAGGAAGATAAGGGGACCATGCAGAAGGCAGGGGCTAAAAGATAATCATGTCAGCAAACTAGTAGGGCAGTTTTAGCAGACACTCTTGCCCTCGATGGTCAGGAGCTCATAATCCCGGGAACTGTGGACAGCAGCTGAGTGTAGTCATCATTTATCTGGGCGATGATCTGGTATTCCTGGTCCAGGCAGGGTTCATCAGAGTAGTCATTGCCTAGAGTCCGGGTAGCTGGCTCTTCACTGGAGCAGCCACTTTCACAGATGGCCAACCTCATGGTTTCACCAGAGTTGCTGGTCTCCCTGGCATGCACCCTGTGGTCCAAGAGCCCACCACCCATAAGAAAGGACTTAAGGCTGGGACCCTGGATTCCAACCCTTTTTCCCTGATCCTTGTCATCCAGAGATTCTGGGAACAGGTGCTGGTGGACCTGAATTATCCTGTGTGTTTGGTGGGTCACAACAGAGCATCAGGAGGTGCTTCAGAAAGGGAAAACTCTGTACCCTGACCCTGAAGACTTTGGGCTTAGGATTGTGTCTGTGACAAACCCCTTTTCTATTATACCACTGACCCACATAATTGAGGGAAAGGAAAGAGTTATAAGATAGAAGAGGAGAGGCTATCTTACCTGGCCACTTCATAGACATGCTCTAGAAAAGAAGGATAAATCAGGTCAGAATTCTCCAGGGGATGTAAACAAGGGCCAAGTATGGACCTTGAGTATCAGTCAAAAGGTGAAGGGAGAGGAGACATAGAGGAGGATCTCAATAAGTTCAACTTTCCAATGATTGGGAGGTATGGGGAAGGTGAGTTGTAACACAGGGATGTATGTCTTGGCCACCATGATAATGCTGCAATGAACATAAGGGTGCATATATCTTTGTGAATACATGATTTTGAGGTTTTTGGGTATTATACCCAGGAGAGGGATTGCTGGGTCGTATGGTAGCTCTATTCTCAATTTTTTGAGGCATCACCAGATTGCTTTCCATAGTGGCTGTACCAGTCTAATTCCCACCAGCAGTGGATAAGGGTTTCCTTTTAGTCACAATCTCTCCAATATTTGTTATTGCTTGTCTGGTTGATAATGGCCACTCTAGCAGGTGTGAGGTGGTATCTCATTGTAGTTTTGATTTGCATTTCCTTAATTGCCAGTGAGGTTGAACATCTTTTCATATATCTATTGGCTGTTCATATGGAAACAACCAGGGTCCTTACAATAGAGGAGTGGATAAAGAAGATGTGGTACATATACACAATGGAATACTACTCAGCCTTAAGGATGAAATAGTGCCATTTGCAGCAACATGGATGGACCTCGAGAACATTATGCTAAGTGAAATAAGACATTCATAAAAAGCTAAGAACCATATTATTTCACTCATATGTGGAATATAAAACTTAAACTCATGAACACAAACAGCAGTGTGATGGTTGCCAGAGAGAAGGGAGTCCTAATATATGGTGACAGGAGAATATTTGACTTTGAATGGTGGGCACACGGTGTGAATGCAGATCTTGTAACAAAGAAACCCACACCTAAAACCTATGTATTAATATTGACAAATGTAATATTAATAAACTTAATTTAAAAAAAGAAACACAGGAATGTAGAATTCTTAGGGAAAGGAAGAGGAAGCACGGTTGGTAACTGTCCTCTTTGGCATACTCTGACTCAGGACATTAGGCTGGAGCAGTTATTTAGTGTGATGGAGAGAGGGACACTGGAATTGAATCCACTTCCCACTCAGGAATCTTGTTGGAGATCCCTAAGGAGTCCTTGTGGGAAACTTGGCAGCCCGACCAGAGCCTAGACAAAAGGGGCTGAATTAGTCTGTTGTCAAGAACCATGGCTTAAGCCATTCCCAAAGGCACTCACCCTTACCCTGCACCCAGGAAAGGTCCTGAGATAGGTCACTATTGCCCCTTAGGGGGAACATCTATATTCCATGCAGGTTTAAAGGATCTGTAGCCTGGTACAAAGATGAATGTCTCTTGGTATTGTCCTCTAGGAGCTTATAATCTTTCAGGGATGCAACCTGGAATGCATGCATTACATCACAACAAATTAAAAGTGGCATGCTGAAGCCAGCCTTTTGTCATGTGATAGAGCCTTGTATTTCCATGCCTTACCCCCTCCATTGGCCAGATAGCTTCCCTTACTTCAGGGATTGTGTCTATTACATTTTATATGCCCAGCACCTGGCACATGTTAAATACCCATTAACTACATGTTGAATTAAATGGATGCCTCAAGATCATCTCCCGTATAAGAGGTAAAAATCAGGAATTTGGGGAAGGCAATCCAGGAAGGGAAAATGCATAAAGGTGAGAAGTATACAGCCTATTTGCCTGTTTGAATTCAGTGATTGGAAATTAACCTTGATGTAAGGGAGTGGTGGGAATAGAGAAGATAAGATAGAGCTACATTACAGAGGGCCTTTTAATGAAATGTTACATTTTGACTTCTGGGCCATGAGGAGACCTGGAAAATTTTTGGAAGGGAAACTATCTGATATGGTTACAATTTTTAACCAGTCTCATTGAGACTATGAATGAATGTTTTACTTTTAATAGTCTTGGGATTTGTGGCCACTTGAGATATCTCCACTTCCAAGTTTAGTCTCATGGTTCATAGCCGTGCTAACTGGCCAAGACCAAAGCTGATACTTAAGATTTAGAAAACGGAGATACTCAAAGCTCCCTTCCCTTCTTTGATTGGAGAGACCCAAGTGGAAACCAGGCTATTTGGGATTTGGAACTGCGACACTGGAATAGGCACACTAATGGTAGGTAAAACAGCTAGTGCAGCAGGTATTGAGGTGTAGCTAGATTGTACTTAGAAATTAACATCTAAATAATCTTTTTCCTCTTTGTTGGCTCACAGTTGTAAAATTCCCCTCACAACTGCACCTTAATCATGTCACCCCTTTGCTTTAACATATTTGGTGTCTTTTAATGCATTTGCAAGGCCTAGAGAAGAAACTCTAAATTCCTTAACCTGTCATTAACTTTCCCTTTTCTCTGTATTTTCCCATTGCTTAGCTACATACATTTTCTTTATTGATAACCTCATTAACAGTTATTTTTTTAAGCCTTTACACCTTTACTCGTATAGTTCCTTCTTCCTGAAATACTACCCCTTTCCAAATTGTTTACATTCTGAAAGGCCTGATAGTAGTACCACCTTCTTCTGAAAGTCCCTGCTAATTAGCCATAACTGACTCTTCTCCCTTCTAGATCCCTTTAGCATCTATTGTATTGAACTTCAGGCTTTCACTCCATAGCCTTTATTGCTATGTATCATTATTGATAAACTCCATGCTTCTATATTAAATCCCCTAAAAAATTGTAAGCAAAGTGAGGCCAAAGATTGTGACTTCTCCTTCTCTTGTATCATCATTAGACAACCCATTACA